GACTTAGCAGTGTCTTGATGAGATGCAACGCCATGCTGAGACAAAACCGTTGTCTTCTGTCATGTCAATGTTTCAGTTTTCATTCAGGCCTCATCAGTCACCAGATTTCTACCATGATCACAGTACTATGTGCTCTCTCCTCATTACATTACTAATCTTGTTAACTTCTAACATCATCCTGCCACCTCTGCTGGGATCTGTCAGGTTGTGGAAATGTGTAATTGGCTGCGTCTCTTAAACAATCAATAAAATAACTGTTCAATAACTCTGAATTTTCAGAAGAAATTTTTTAACTTTGGAATAATTGCAAAGTCTATATTTATAATTTTATTCTCTCGTGTTACAGTCTGTTTTGTTATCTACCGTGTTTGTATAGAGTTTTATTTTAGAGTAACCATAGATCTATAGATTTGTACTTCAGTTCGTCTCGCTTCTCTCTGACCTCTTCTCCTCCGTGATGGCGCAGCAGGGGCAGGAGCTGAGCTGTAGACCTTAACTCAGATCAGCATATCCTGGCCTGCAGTGGTCTGTTGCACACTTTGAGTTTGCAAATTCTAGTTTACACAACAGCTTTCCTCAGGTTTTCACTGTAACAGGTCCAGGCGGGTATTTTCATGTTTCCAACAGTGGGCTGATATTAGGGCCTTTGTCTAACTTCTCTTTGCTGTTTGTCAGTATTTGTTGAGACCAATAAAGCTTCTGATCTGGTCTGTGTGCTGTGATCTCTCATTTGCACAAGGAAGAACCCATAAAGTATATATTTCAGCAAGTTGCGTTTTCGTCATCTTTCACTGATTGACTATGTAGGAGTAGAGCTCCTTAAATCCTGTATCCAGCAAGAACAGGAAAACACTAGGCTTCCAAAAGACATTTTTCTTCAAGATCATGTGTGATACAATTTTCCCATTATACCAAATATCAAAGGTGCTTTATTGGATTGAGATCTGGTTACTATGGAGATCAGGAATTGATTTGAGGTTTGTGATATGATGCATTATCTTCTGACAGCTGGAGGGATGGGCATGGTCAGCAATGGTACCCAAGTAGGCTGTGATGTTTAAACTGTGCCCGACGTGTGGTTCATGCTTTCATATTTATGCCAAATTCTGTTCCGACCAATATCGCAGCAGGAATCAAGACTCTTCAGACCAGCCAATGTTTTTATGTGTTATAGACAGTGTGTGTGATGTGTGCCTCTCTGCACACACTATCATAAATACGCATAACTAAAGAAAAATACAATGTATAGTGTAAGAAAGAAGAGGTTAATAAGATCAAGATCAATCAAAAAAATGATAAAATATGAATAACTGTGGGTTTATTGTATCATTAGTTATATGACTGCAGCTCTGATTTACTTTTAACCAATTTCTGACCTTTTCATCAAAAGTTGGGAAAAGCAGCGTGGCAAATCTCACGGGCATTATAACCCATTTTATTTACATAAATCACATCGACAGTCCCATCAAAGCGTGCTACATCGAAATTTTCTATTTTTTGGATCATTCTCTGCCAACCTTGATGGTTGTTTAGGAAACTCTCTGTAACACTGATGAAGCGCTAATGAATTAATACAGGCTACGTATTGAGTGAAATATTATGGTCATTATTAATCATACAGTCTATCTGAAATTTTAAAGTTAGAGGTTCCAAGACAAATACTTACTTGGCAGACTTAAAAAGAATAGCCAAATTATCTGGGAGGGATTATGCAGAAGTCCTCAGTGAGGGGATGACCCAGATACGCCGGTCCCTTGCAGAGCTTGACCCAGAGACTCCAGTGGTTGCAAAACCAGAACCAGAAGATTCAAAACCTCCCGATTCAGTCTTTCCTCCTTCACTACCAGCCTCTCTTCCATCTAAGTCCCTAAGCATTTTGTGTTGTGTGTATTTATTAATTACTGCCCATCAGCTCCAGTAGCATTCCTAAATCTTCTGATTAATAATGAC